AAAAAAAAAAAATTAACCCGGCGTGGTGGCGGGTGCCTGTAGTCCCAGCTTCTCGGGAGGCTGAGGCAGGAGAATGGCATGACCCGGGAGGCACAGGAGCTTGCAGTGAGCAGAGATCATGCCACTGCACTCCAGTCTGGGTGACAGAGCAAGACTCCGTCTCAAAAAAAAAAAATTAAAAAAATTAAAAAGTAAAATAACGTAACATGTACAGATATATGCATTTAAATCATTTGTCCCATTATGTGTGACTATGTATATCTGGTGTGTATGCTACATAGGTTGTATATATATGCAGTAGATCATATAATGATGCAACTTTTGTAAATTCTCTAGGTTTAGTCTTCCTGATTCTTTCCTCCCATCAGCTGCTGTCACCTCTGTCTGGTCTCACCTCTGTGCCACATAGGCTGCCACCCTGCCAGGCCCTTTCATTTCCATCTCCTGTTTGAACCCAGCTCTGATTTAACTTTGATTTTTGTAATCTCTGCTCTCCCCAAAGCATAGCCTACATAGAGTATTATTTCCTTGGCTTTATATTATCTACCTGGAAGCTATTTGTGTTTCTTAATCCTGTGTTTCTTATTGATGTAAATTGGCAGTGCCTTTGGCTCCAGGCAATCTTGTCATTACTGAGTAATGTAGGAAAGATCAACAAAAAAGAAAATTTTAAAGTGACTCTATTGGCTTCCCCTTACCCGTTGGACGTTCTTGTCCAAGACCCCCTTCTTGATTTGATGTCCTCTGGGTGGAAGAGAAAGTCACAATTAGGTCATGGATGCCAGTGAATCCCACTGACTGTGTTTTTATTTTCAGAGCTGGTTTTAGAGCCCTCCCTGGGGATGAAGAACCCTCCCCAGCTGGATGATGATGCACTTAAAGGCTCAGGAGACAACACACAAGGGCATCAAGTCATTGGCCAGATTCACGCCTCCAGTGTCCTGAAACCAAAGATCATCAAAAGAAAATTCTCATTCAGCAAGTGGAGACTGGCATGCAGACTCCCTGGCCTGCAAGCTTAGAGTGCAGAGGTAATCACATCTATGGCTGATAGCTGCACTTACTTCTTATTTCTCTGTCTATGGTGACACCTCATTCTCCCACTGCTTTTTCTCTTCCATTTGTTCTCTCCAACAGCAGCTGTAACCTCTGTCTGGTGTTATCTGTGTCCCATGGGCTCCCACCCTGACAGGCCCTTTCTGTCCCCATATCCTCTTTGCTCTCTGAACTCTGCTCTATTCCTTCTTCTAGTGTCTTGACAACCCCTCTCATGGCCACAGGAGAGCCAGGCCTCCTTGTCCTCATCCAAGTGCATAGTTTAAGCTGCTGAACACAGGAATATTTGCCTGAAATCACACTCTCTCTTGGGAAATTTAACTTTCCTCTCTGCATCCCAACTCCATTGCCTCTTTCTGCAGAAATCATTGCTTTAATACATCATTTACACATCGATTTTCCTCTTGAGTCTTCTTCTGAGCAACCCAACTGAGTCAACTCTTAATCATCACTTGTTCTTCTGAATGAGCAGTGTTAAAACTAAGCACAAAGAGCCCCACTTAGGAAATTAAATTAGAACTAGGGTAACAGGCGGGAGTTCCCCACTGGCCTGGAGTCAGGTTTGTCTTCAGCCCAAGATGTGCAGCCTAGTGCCAACTTGGATGGGGTTGCCAGGGTCTCAGTGTTCTCACCTCATGGACTCATTTGAGCTTATGTTAACTGGAGAACATTTATGACATACTAAAGGGACATCACTCCAAAAGTACATGCAGAGGGCAGGACTTCAAAACCATCATGAGGTTCATCGTTCCAACCTCTCTCCTTTTTATTCTCATTTCCACTTCTACAAGTCCAGTGAAGGGTCTAAAATGCAAGTCAGATGAATCTTGAGGCCAGAGTATATGAGAGAGCATTTTATGAATTAACTTTGAGAAAAGTGACTCCAGGACCAGCTTAATGCATACACAAGATGACAGACAAAAATCTGTCTATAGGACAATGTTTGCTTTGGCCCAGCCCAGTTGATAAGAGAGAGATTGAACTGAAATTGTCAGGGAGAAGGCTACAATACATAGAACCACTGGGAACAAAGCCAATCATGAGAGAAATGGGGAAAGGAAAGCAAATGATGAGAAACTGGGTTGGTCCATTTAATATCTCTAAATCCTGCTTCCATGTAATAAGCACCTGCTGAGGTTTCCATTAAGATGAATGCCTTGAACTCACACCTCGAGATTCTCACTCACATGACCTGGGGTGTGGTTTGAGCATCTGTAGTTTTAAAATGCTCCCATGTGATTCTAATATGTGGCTAAAGGTGACAAGGACCCCTGGCCTACCGTGACCTCAGGTTACCAACATGGAAGTGTCGCATACATGTGGCTACACCACAGAAAAGGCTGAGTATCCATCAGTCTTTGATGGGATCTGTATTTCCCTCTCAATAGTACTGTTTGTATAGCATAGAAAAAATCAGTAAGACGAACAAGAAAATTAATAGATTAGACTTTTAGCCTCTGCTTGAAGGACACTTGCTCAGTTTTGAATAAAAGATAAGAAATAGTCATTATATTAACACTTAATGTATTGAAATAATACCTCCCATATTACATATAGTGGAATTTAGTATTTTTTCTTTTTTCTTTTTTTTTGCATTTTAAAGAAAACTTCCAGTTTACATTTCCCCACACCCATTTTATAGCCCACTCATGCACTCACCACTGCAATGTGAAAATTTTACTTTTGGTCAATTATTGTCCTTCTGCAAAATCGCCAAAGAGAACTCATCAGTCTCACTATCCTGAAGAGAATACAGTAACACAGTGAGACTGAAATTCTGCAAGAGACTGTGTATGAATACTTCTTCATACCTCTCTTCACACTGGCATAAAATATTAAAAAGAAACATTTCCCAAAATGTACTAGGGGAAAACAGTAAGTGGGAGGGGAGAATGTAGTAAAACAAAAACTAATCCATTTCACTTTGTACTTCAGAGTTTTCTTGCTCTAGATATTGAGAATATTTCCAGAAATGCCTTAAGGTGGAACCAGATGTGAAATCAATTTCAGGGCATTAAGGAAAATATGTTGGGCCGTGGTTACAGTCCCCGCTCTCTCTTTGCTAACACCATTTTGAGTCGCTTTTTAAAAATTCCCGTTCTTTCCTGATCCCCTTTGGACAAATACTTATAATTATCTTTTTTTTTTTTTTTTAACCAGCCAAAGAAGCAGGAGCAACATCATATTTATTTGTAAAACTTTATTGCCGTCCTAACCAAGGTGACCCAACCGTCTCTCATGACTGTTGAGACCTCCAGATTGGAGCCTTTCCTCTCGCTTTCTCCAATCTTTATTGAAACGGCCTTAGTGGGTGGATTCTAATTCCTGGGTTGTCAATAGCAAGTCATGTGGCCTTAGTTCAATCTTACCCCTGTGGCATCACTACTCCTCTGTCGTAAAAGATGGACCTGGATGTGATGTTGTCTGAGGTTCCTGCTGCTTCTCCCATCCCATGGCCCTCCCATTCCGCCCTAGAAGACTAGGACATGGAGTTGTAAGGGGGTGGGGTTCTCTGCAAAGGGTCCTTTCCTCCTGCTCCCCTCTGTTTCTGGGCAGGCATGATGGATGCTGAGCACATCCTCACTGGGAGGAAAAGCCATCACTCTGCTCCAGACAGAGGGGATCAGGAGGAAAAGGGCTGATGTTCTCCACTGCTGGTTGTGCATAGGTGGGGTCCTTATATCCTGCACCCCAGGCTGACTGGAAGTTCAGGGAAGTTTAGGAGTGTTTTCTTCTCACTTGTGGATGGTGCTTCCCCCTTCAGTAAACCCACGGCCCACGCTTCAGCTCATCCTCCTGGCAGGTGATTCTTTCGCCCCTGATATATCACTACCTAGCAATCCGTCCAGACTCAGCCATCAGGAGGACCTGACAAAAATGCTCATTTGATTTTTTTCTCTCTCTCCCCTACAGATACCAAATACTGCTGGAAGGATGCAAAGGGTGAAAGGATGTCACAAAAAGTAGCTTTTACACTTGATGAAAACAACTAAAACAGCAAAGAAAGTTCAAATCCAAACACAATACTGCAGGGGTCCTTCACTGAGGATTGAATTTAAGACACAGAATACTCTTGATGATTTCAACCCACTACGCTCCTTTGATTTCAGAAGCCACAGTCCATCCCCCTCCAATTGTAATCAATGCCTAGGGAGACCAATGCCCAGATGGACAAACAACATTCACAGGCCTTAGCCCTGCTCCTCTCAATTCCCATCGTGTAGAGAACAGGAGTCAGGAGCTGCTGGCAGGAGACAGCATGTCAGCCGGGACTCTGCCAGGGCAGAGTATGAACAATGCCATGTTCTTGCTGAAAACGCTTAGCCTGAGTTTCACAGGAGGTAACCCTCAGACAACTGCAGCATGTAGAACATTGAACAAGACAACTGACCTGTCCCCTTCAAACAGTCCATGTCACCACCAAGAACACAACAAAAAGGAGAAGAGACATTTTGGGATCAAAAAGACTAAAAAGACTATGTAGTTTGTGCTTTTTTAGTCATTTTGAACCCAAAGCATCTCTTCCTCTTTTTGTTGTTGTCATTAATGGTGATCACATGGAATGTTTGTAGAGGACAGGTCAGCTGTGTGGCTCAATGGTCTACATTCTGAAGTTATCTGAAAATGTCCTCATGATTAAATTCAGCGTAAACATTTTGCCAGGAACTCTGCAGAGTCCATGCTGTGAGCTTCCTACCTCAGTCCATCTGCAGGCAGAGAAGGCCCAGTGTGTCCATCCCCATTATTGTGATACTAGCATGGTCACTTGGTAAAGGAGGGGACAAGCAGCTCTGTCCCTTGTAAAGACACCTTGGTTATAATTAATTTGGAAAGTGGTTTGAAACAGTATCAATTTCCTGTATTCTAACGGTCTTCCTCTGAGTATTTTATCATCAATTAATCACCCCTGCCTGTGTCAGTTATTATATTTATGTCTGTACTTTGAAAATTTTCTATCTCAAAATCTTACTTTAGACTTGCTTTTGGTGGCATTCTTCATAAGAAAAAATATTCCCTGCCCAAATTTTAACTTTCATCCAAAATTAATTTTAATTCTTTTTGCTGGCATTCTGTTGTGATAAAGAAGATTCTCTGCCCCAATTTTAACTTGCATCCAAAATTAATTATAGTCCATCAGTTAAAATGTTTAAGTTTTA